TGGGCGTTCGACTGGAACCAACCGTCTTGCTTATCGCTCGCGAGCCACTAGGAGACACACTCATGACAGCAGGCAGCAGGCAGCCTCCGGTACAAATAAGAAACACCGCAGACCCCGCCGCAACAGGTACTGTAGTCAGTGCGTCACATTCTCACGCCCAGCAAGCATCTGCAACGACACCAACACCAACACCAACAACAACACCAACAACAACAACAAATTCAAGCCAACCAACGCCGCGACAACAACGAGGTCAACAAAAATCCCGACGCTTCGAACTGCCAGGAGAGAGAGAGAGAGAGAGAGAGAGAGGCCTCGCTTCCCTACCCACCTCAGCAAGCGCCGCATCCGCCGCCACCGCCTCTGCCGCTGCCGCTGCCGCCTTCTCCTCCTTGCTCATCTTCTTGTCGTTTTCTCTCTTCTTCTTCTTGTTCTTCTTCTTGCTGGGGGAGGCCTCGCTATTGGCAGCGTGTGTGTGACGGGGGGAGGGGGGGGGCACGGTGACTCTCTCACTCGGTTTTACAGATACATACCTCATGGTAACTAGCTACGTTTCCTTTCGTGCTCACCGCACAGCAATTCTTGCGCGTGACCCCCCAGAGTGTGGCTCCTCAGGAGAGAAAGGTACGTAGATTCGAGCGAGAGCAATCCCCCCCCTACCGAAACCAAAGGTCACAATTACGAGTCGAAGCTCACCGAAGATCAGGTGCGGAGCGGTTTCAGTCCCTCGCATTGAAAAATGCCCCCTGGTTACTACGTCGAAGCTTAAAAAAAAAAAAACGGAATGCCTTCGAACGGGAAGGGTGGCTACAGTGTTCTCCCGAAAAGATACAAAGTTCTGCCGAACAGACACAAAAGTTCTCCCGACAAGCGCTTCTCGGGAGTGGAAGATTAAGATTCCGCGACAATGTACAACTAACACGATCTCAGCATAGACGGCATGTACGCCGGGAGAATATATTCTGAAGCAAAAATAAAAATCGGATCCGAATGTCCCGTCACTACAATGTACCCCCCCCGTCAACACAACTACACCGCTTCCCCGGGAAAAACTCCGGTCCAAAAGCATCATCCTTTCAGCAGGAAATCAGCGTTTGATGGCACCATGATCATTGTCAGCTATTATAATGGTGTTGCAGACCGACGTCTGAGCAAACCAACGCCCCCCCCCCTCCCCCCCTCCCTCGAAACGTCCTGCGTTTCCACAACCAACATCAACATCAGACTCTTTAGTCTTCACACCTGCCGCGGTCATCGTCCGAGCTGCTTGAGTCATCATCATCATCATCATCGTCATCATCATCATCATCATCATCATCATCATCATCATCGTCGCCGTCGTCGGAATCCAAGGCCACCGAAGAGTCTCCGTCCGAATCAGAAGAAGAAGCGCTCGCCTCCTCTTCCTCGTCGGCGTCCTGTCGGGGGGGGGGGGAGCGCTGGTCACCGGACTCCATCATCACATACCAGCTGGTGTCTCTTTTCATGGGAAGGGTAGACCGTACGCGGTAGATAAAATACTGTGCGAAAGGGGGGATGTGGCAACAAGAAGGTGAGCACGACAACAGCAAAAAAAAGCATCTTCTGTAGCTCGTGGGAGAAACCACAACGGAACGGTGCACCGTCCGTTCCCACATCCAAAAACGCGCCACTGGCACGCTTTACTGCAAGTGCGGGGCGAGGACCGGTGTCAAAACAAAAGTGCGACACCATCCGGTGGCAACTCAACGGCTAGGAACGGACGGCCCTAGTGCATTGTTTTCAGCCATCCTCTGTCCTAGCGACGCATCTGGAAAGTTGCACAGCAGTCGTCTGGATGGGCTCGTTCTGGCTCGACGGGCCCGGAGGTGTTGAACGGGGGACGAGCAATTGAGGCTATGTCCGGAGAAGCTCGAACGAGCGCACAACAACCGCCGCCGCAGCAGCAGCAGCAGCAGCACACGCGATTGAACAACAAGAACACGCACCTCTTCCTCGAGCTCCGGCACGTCGTGCTCGCTCTTCTCCTTGTACATGCCCTTCTTCTCCTTCCCCGCCCGGCACGACCGCTTGTCCCTCCACCCATCCTGCAACGCCTGAAAGCCATCCCGTACCAAAAAAAAAAAACACACACACACACACGCACTGATCAGCCGGTTAGCGCGGTCGATGCCATCCGCACGAAAAACACTGATCTGCCTGTTGGTGCCGTCGATGCCTATTAAAGACCAATCATAGACAGACAGACATTTCACACACAGACATGCGTGAAAATAAACAAAGTGTACGTTTCATACGGGGAAGCGACGCAGTATCACCCGCACATACGTGTACCCATCCATCCGGTTCCGGAAAAGGGCGGGTGCATACACCCGGAACGGCGGCGAGGGGGAAGGCGGCGGCAGCGGTGGAGAGCTGCATCTAAAGTCTAGCCATATGGCAACAACGACCACCACCAGCAAGAACAACGACAACTGTAATGTTTGTCCCTTCGGCACTCCGCATGAACTCAGAATTGGCTCCCGTCCAAGCCATCAAGCATGAAGCCGTCCGACAAACGTATCATACTCTGACAGGACTGGCCTGATGGTTGATTGTGGAAGTGCCTCCCCCCCCCCCCCCCCCCCTCCCATTTCCCCCACTTATTTTGTTTGAAAAAAAAAAAAATTGAACCAAAAAACCAAAAAAAAATTAAGGGAAAAAGAAAACCCCCCCCAAGGCCCCTTGTTCTCCTTTCCATTTTCCCCCTTTGCGCCCCGGGAAAACCCTTTCTTTTTCCCCTCCTTCAAAAGCGAAAAGCCCAAAAAAAACCCAAGCGCACCCAAGGGGGGGGGGGAGAGAAAAAAAAACGGGGGGGGGGGGGGGGGGGG